AGAGGGTGTTTTTAATTATTACCATCGGAAAAAAGAGTACAACTTTTAATAAAAGCAGACGGTGCGACCATGCTATCATGCATGTCGCATCAAACAACGGCAGAAGTATTATGTTTATTACAGTATTAAATTTGTGTTTCTATTGTATATACTATAATTAGGTACATTAATTAAGAGTATTACTGTATTAGATGCAAAATTTGTATGATAGTTTTCATTATTTTCATACAGAATATAATTGAACTTATAATCTTTTTTTTAAGATGTAATTTCGGAGTATCACAAATTTAATTGGTACGTAGAGATGGTTTCATCGGTGCAAACGTAAATCCTGTTACTTTAAAAAACAGTTTCACATGGAATAAAGTATGAGATGGCTTTGTGTGATAGGTTAGTCCTATACACTATAGTTTAATTTTTTTTGGTTTTAAATAACATGAAACTAAAATAAATTACTGGCTTGTCAAAAAACTTGATGCAGGTATGATTCGAGTCTTTTGCTTGAGATTAATAGTAAACGGGGGGGGCGTTGTAATGTCCCGGTTGTGATACTATACTATATATACCGTATTATTATTATTATATATACCATAAAAACCAAAACGATAATACAGCTTGTTTTACATCCGCTACTTTATACAAATGAATACAAATTCCCGTCTAGGTAAGACGAATCTGAGTCACGAGATGTCCCGAGGTGTCATCGATTTAGGAGATCAATTTTTAATTAATGGAAAATAATTTAGCCGATCAAGTGAGTTCTTCATCGCCTTTTTTCAGAGTTGCATTAATACGTATCCGCAGTTCGCACCATAAATATTCAGCAAAAGTGTTATAAGGTTGATCATAATGCTTGTACAATCTCGATTACTATCCAATCACATTGAGGAAGTTGCTTGAGAACACCCTTAATATATTCACTACCTGGTGTGTCTAGTGAATTAGAAGTACATTCAATGAACTTTTTAATGACAGACACACTATATAAAGAACTTTTTTTTATCAAATTTATTACGTGTTCAGTATACAAACCATAGCAGATAGTAAGTAAATTATTATATAATGAACTTTGAAAATTTATTATTTTAACCATCAATTCATTATTGTTTTAACAATAGTTGATTGGAATAAATTAATTATTTAGGTAATTCGAAAGAAACATTAATATTTGCTTCTCTTGCAAGTTCAATTATCTTTGACAATTGCACGGATTTCGAAGCTGCTTCATCAAGATCATCAGCAGAGATTATACGTAATCCGGATTCAGCTATAAGTTTCTTGGCCGCTTCGACTTCAGTTCCTGTTTCCAATTAAACTAAGTAAACAGCTCTTCAAAGGACAAATAAAATCAATAATAAAACATTTTACCTTGTAATCGTACAATCACGGGTATAGTCAATGATAGTTTTGTAGTAGCTTGAATGATGCCTTTAGCGATAATATCACAACGCATGATACCTCCAAAAATATTAACCAAAATAGCCGTTACTTGCGGATCTGATGAAATTATGTTAAATGCTTCGGTTACTTGTTCTGCGGTAGCTCCACCACCAACATCCAAGAAATTAGCAGGTTCGCCTCCATGCAGTTTAATAATATCCATAGTTGACATTGCTAAACCAGCACCATTCACTAAAAGATCATGTTATATAATAAATTGTTAGTATTGTTGTAAATTATGGAAATCATAATAATCATAAAAATAATAAAATAATAAAATTCTATAATTGCCTAAACAGCCGATCCGTCCCTCCAGACCAATATAATTCAAGTTATATTTTGCTGCAGCAACCTCACGTGGATCTTCTTGACTGGTGTCACGTAATGCATATATCTCTTTTTGTCTGAATTCCGCGTTATCGTCAAAATTAAGTTTTGCATCCATACATAGAACTAAATTACGAAATAATTGATGTATGCGATTAAATTTATCTAGATAATATAGATAATATATATATTTTTTAAAATAATAAATATTTATATACCCTCATGATCCACGGATTCGGCCATTGGATTAATTTCTACTTGTGTACAATCTTTCTCTATGAATAGTTTGTAAAGATTCAACATCATATCAGCGGCCTGAAAAAAATGAGCTATTAATACATTAAATACATTAATGTGTTTCTATTTAATTTATTCAGCTAACCTCATCGCGAACTTTTGGAGAAAAGCCCAATTTTTCCACCAAAGATAGGGCATCCTCTTTTTTCAGACCTTCTTCAATATCAACAGGCAATGTTAAAATTGCTTCTGGAGTTTCCGCAGCAACGCTTTCAATATCGACACCACCTTGAGAAGAAGCGACAATAGCAGGACCTTTGGTTTTTCGATCTTGAAGAATAGCAAAATAGTACTCGCGACGAACATATTTACGTTCGACAAGGTAAACCTATGGTTGAATAAATTGAAGGGCCGATTTGAACTTATTTAAAATAAATTTTTAATATTATTTATAAAAAATTATACCGAATTACATATTTTTCCAGCTGAGCCGGTCTGCTTTGTTATAAGCTTATAACCCAACATTTGTTTAGCAAAATTTTCAGCCTCGGTTGGTCTATAAAAAATCGATGTAAGTAAAAAAAAGTTTTTATCACAGTAAGTTTCAATTAGTGTGTATTGTCAATAAATTACATACGAAAAGATGGGTCGAACACCGCCTTTAAGACCACTTTCAAAAACACCTTTACCACGACCGCCAGCGAGGACTTGTGCTTTAATTACAGCATCCTCGGTACCTTTTGACAGCGTATCTCGAATTAGGAATTTTTAAAGAAAAAAATTAAAATAAAAACTATTTAAAAGATACCTAAATTCTTCGCCACTTCGAATGCTTCCCGAGGTGTTCTTGCGACACCACCCTTTGGTGTATTTATACCATATTTATTCATAAGTTCCATAGACAAGTATTCGTGTATAGCAAGGTTTCGTTTCTGGTGGCCTTTAGAAAGCTATAGAATAAACCAACTCACAAGTTCAAACGCGGAAATCCGAAAGTTCCTTAAGACATTAGCTTTATACTTGGAAAATACATAAGTACCAGCGATGCATTTCTAGCGAAGCCTTTGACGATAGTCAATGATCGTAACATTATTGAATAAATTAAAAACGCTCGGGTTGTAGGCGACTTATACGATAATTTTTTTTTTTTTTTTTTTTTTTTTTTTGTACTCAACTGCTAAAAAAGCATACTCTCAGGATTATACGTAGTAAAAAAAAATATATATGTACTCAATTAGTGTTTTAAATAATTTTATAATTTTAATGTTTCTTGCAATTTTTTGATTTATTTATTATATAGTTACTCTAAATAGTTTTACTTATAAAAAAAGTTTTTATTTTTATTTCATTAATATTTATTAGTTTATTTTATTTTTTTTTGTTTTTTTTTGTAGTTATACGTACTATAACTTTTTTTATTGAGTTAATAATTCATACATAAGATTTTAAATTAACTAACTAGTATTATAAAGCTAATATATAAAAAGTATAAAACACTCTTTCTGATGATCATTTGAACCAAACTTTCCAAAAAAGCTGAACTACAGAAAAACGATATAGTTAATATATTAACCTTTATAAAAACTTTACTGGAGTACTGTACTCGCATAGTTGA